ATCTTAAGTAAGCTTGACTTAGTTTTTTTGAGGCAACAAGTTTGCACAGTGTTTTTTTAAGTTTTGGGAACTAGAACTGGAATAACTTGTTTTTAACAGGAAGAAACCAGGAGAACCAGGCTCAGGGAGGGGCGGGGCATCTGCTGCGACTGTATTCACAGTATTGTGCACTTACCACAACATGACTGGACTGGAAAATTAGAACACAGTGAAGCCATTGTGATGTAATGAGGAAACAGATACTGTGTTGGTTTCCATTCAATTTGATGAATGATCACTTAACATGCACGACACCAATTTTTGGTATTTTTAACCCAGCATAACAGAGCTTCAGAGGCCAATCATATTAACCAAGACTGCGTATCCAAACAAGCACCAGAGTCAGCTGTTTTCTCATTTAACTTTTATTTGTGCAAAGCAGTAAATTTACAGCCAAAGTCATTTCTGTGTATCCAGTATAGCTGCATAGATAGCAAAGGTTATCGCTACGAGCCACGTGACAGCGTAGGTGGGGCTGCTCTTCACAGAAAACAACATCTTTATATAAAAAAGGTGGATTGAATCAACACAAAGTACATTTACAGTAACAACAGTAATTTAAAAGGTTTTCATTAGTTATAGTTATGTTTTCTATATAGTTTAGTGAATAGTGCCAAACAGAAACAGAAACAGGAGTGAAGGATTTTGTTCCCCTGCAAGGGTTTAATTACAGTTGGATTAGAAGAACCAATTAAAGACTCATTTTAGTTCCTTTGGTCCAAAATGTGCATAAAACCTAAAGTAACGAGTACAGAATGTTAAATACTTGTTGGGATGTTGGTTTTTTAATATGGAATGTAAGAACACAGAAAACATCACAATACTGAGAGACAGCATGTACAGCAATGAAAGGTCAGGGCAAATTTCAACTTCAAGTAAAGATGGAGTACAAGACAAGATCGAGAAAACAGAAAAACAAGTACTGTAACGCTTTAAATTTGAATATTTATCGAGTATAATCCACAGCTCGCAGACCTTAAGTCTCATTGTATCAAAATTTCACTACACCTAAAAAAAGAAAATATAATAACTGTACAAAAGTACACCTGCATGTAAAATAAAGTCACAGTTCGTCACCTCCTAAAACTGTCCTCAAAAGTGCCACAGTAGACATTCAAACACCTCTGCATGCTTCTGCCGTCAAATGTTTAGTGTAGAGAAAAGTTTCGTTTCCCTCCACGGGGAAACGCAGCATTCGCTAGGGTCACATTTTCAGTTTGGCTGCTTCCACGGCGCCTTTGTTTAGCTGTACGACTTTCATTTGTAGAGGCACGATCACATTTTTCAAATCTGGGGTCACAGTAGATCTAACAGAAGAATCCTCGGGGATGGGACAATCACATTTTGGACTGGCTTTTGGTAAACGCCCACATCCCAACAGAGATTTTACAATCACACTTATTGATGCTGCATACAGTCTAGTTAACAAGGTCACTAAGGACAGCCATCAACCCCAACCACCAAGTCCCTTTCAACCAGTCTAGGCTTAGCTTTTGTTTTGGGCACATGTGAGGTCTAACTAATCCTCAGTGATGATCTGAAACCTCGTTTGTGTTTAACTTTAAACTAAAAAGTGTTGGGATTCAGCGAAGCGAGAATAATCGTTTTAACTGACGTGCATTAAAAACTATTTCCATTTTTTTCTTATTGCTTTTCTCCAAAACCCTCATACCGAGGGCTGGAGTCATCACCACCGCCGATGACACCTCCTTTACATTTTCAGAAACT